CTCTTTCCCAGAGTTGTGCATGTGTGTCCTTGCACCAGTGTGCTAACTCATGATATCAGATATATTTCTAACCATGGATATTGTTTAAAAACTAAGAAAAAGTTTCAGAAATTGCACTGAGATTTCTAGCGATCGACCTATGAATTGAGCAAATCCCAAGGTCAAATGTGATGACTCACCACAAGATGTCTGCCCCAGGTGCCAAATCTGTGCCACTCCCGCCTCTCTTTGGGAAGGGTAGAGCAGAGGCTGAGAGAAAACCCACAGGGTGGGCGCAGCTGGGCTCTGGGAAGGGGGTTAGTGAGGGTGCCCTTCCTGTCCCCAGAGGGAGGGGTCTGGGGGAAAGCTCCTCAAAGCCTGTCTGCTGGTCCCCAGGGGCCCACCCCCTTCCCTGGGGAAGCCACACACTCCCCTCAGCTCCCAGCCACTCTCCAGTTCCATAAGCATGGCCACCTCCTGGTTCCTGGCATCCCCTCAAATGTCCCACCGTGTGGGATCCTCCCCCATATGGGCTCATCTCCCAAGGTGGCTGGTTCCTAACCAGGAGCACAGCCAGGCAGCACCTTGGCTGTTCTTCCCTCTCTTGGGAGACTGGTCATCTGCCTCCTCTGTCACCTTCAAATGACTATTTCATCACCCCCTCACAAGAGAACCCACACATACCTCCCCCATCCCAACCCCAGAAGCCTTCTCTCTGAACAGACATCAGCCGGGCATTTGACAACCATTTCTGTGAAATTATTGCAGAGGAGGGCAGTGAAATGTAGACAGAATGTGGATAGTGGGCCCGCCCTTGACTGAACAACGCAGGAGCAGGGAGTTAATGACCTGCCCACTGGGCAGATATCTAGTTGGGAACCACTGGGCTCTACCAGGCTCTACCATAGTCTGACTTCTCCCTTTCACTTTCCATCAAAATGCAGCACAAACAGGCATCCAGAGAGGTGACCTGGAAGCACGTGCACAACCTGATGAATTTCCATAATGCACCCGTTATTCATAATTCACAAGTCCTCTGTGTAACAAAGCATCCAGATTAAGAAACGACATGATAAGAGCTCCCAGAAGCCCCCTTGTCCTGCTGCAGTCACTGTGCCCCTTAACTGAGGATAAGCGCTGTCCTGATTTCCAGCTCAGGTTCCACTTCACCTGCTTTGCACTTTCATGAGCGTGATGTGCCTTCTCCCATGTCTGGCTTCTCTCTCTTCATCTCAGGCTTGTGAGGCCCATCCACACTGCTGGGTGGGGATGTAGAGGTTCGTTCTCTTTGCTGTTTAGCGCTCCACTGGGGACTATACCAACATCTATTTATCCCTTCCACGACTGATCACGTCCCCACGCCTCTGGGAGCTGAGCTGGAGGATCATGAGGAGGCCCAGGCAAAGTCAGCAAGGCTGGAATCAGGAATCTAAATGTTGCCAGCAGACGGAAGCGCTGGGCTGGAGCCCCCCGGGTTGTGTCCGTGCACATGGGAGATGGGATCATGATGACACGCTCAGGATTTAACCCCAGACCCTGCCCGGCACCCACGTGCCCCTCCCATGGTCTCAGGGTGGGGCGGGGCTGCGGCAGTCCGGGGATGTGACCTCCCGCACACCCCCGGCCTTTGGGAGCATCTGGCCTCCTCTCACCCCTCTGGGACTCCTCACCCTGCCTCAAAAGCTGAGCTTCTCCCTCTCTCCTCAGCTGGCAGCAGAGAATCTGCACCAGAGGGATCCCTGGGATTGGTGAGAGTTGCCTGAGAGTAGCTGGAAATTTCTGGAGAAAGCTAGAGGTTCCTGGATCTTAACTGTGGTGGGCAATAATGGCAGCTGTTCACGGAGAGGGGTTTTTAAGGGCCTAAGTTCATGTCCTTTCGTGGCCCTGGCTCTCCATGTCCCGTGTGCTATTTCTTGACCCCCCTTCAAAGTAAGTGTCTCCTGTTCCTGTGGGGACTTCTGAGGTGCTCCTGCCAAGGGTCTCCATCGGGCTCAGAGTCCCCGACACAGTACACTGCTCCCTCCTGATGCGCAGGGGGGTCTTCGAGGGGCTTCTCACTCGTGTGTGACTGCTCCCTTCAGACAGGGTATTTGATTCCCAGATACATTTTCTTACCTTGGTTATTAAATAACTCAGGTTACTGACCGCCTCCGGCAGTGAGGGTGAGGGTTCGCCCAGGTGTGGAGGCAGCAGAAGGGCAGGCACAGTTACGGCTGGTTTTAGGGGAATTTTCAACAGTCACGGGAGTGTAGCCGCCCTGATGTTATGCCTGGGTTAGAAGCTGTTGACCCAACACCCAAGGCCACAAGCCAGGTGCAGATATTTGCTTGGGAGCAGGCAGCCCTCAGGGCCAGCCACCCAGAGTAGGGTCATAGGACAGATGGTGCCCAGGTGCACAACGGCAGTTCGGAGCCTTGACAGGGCACAAAGTGCCCTTTTGCCACATTTCCCAGCCTCTGTTCCCAGTAGCAGCTTTCTCAGTAAGCTCCCTCCTTTTGCCACATTTCCCAGCCTCTGTTCCCAGTAGCAGCTTTCTCAGTAAGCTCCCTCCTTCTGCCACATTTCCCAGCCTGTTCCCAGTAGCAGCTTTCTCAGTAAGCTCCCTCCTTTTGCCACATTTCCCAGCCTCTGTTCCCAGTAGCAGCTTTCTCAGTAAGCTCCCTCCTTTTGCCACATTTCCCAGCCTCTGTTCCCAGTAGCAGCTTTCTCAGTAAGCTCCCTCTCCATCCCAGTCCCTCACTTCCTGTGGCCTGGCTCCCTGGCCCATGCTTGTGCAATTCAGAATCTTAGGATAAAATTCTGGTTGGGGTCTGAAGATGTCCAGGTGGCAAACCCATGTGTTCAAACTCTCTTAGCCAAGGCCACTGGGATCACAGCTGGTGGACTCTGGTCTTATTGGTGTGCAGGAAGTGTGCAAGTTTTCCATGAAGAGCCCTTCAATCATCACTTGAAGGGTCTCTGAGGGCCCTCGTTTCCAGTTGGATGGCACCAATATGATGATGTGTGATGGCAAATAGTTGACCTTGCACACCAAGTCCAGTATATCATTAGGTCACCTGGAGTCTGTGCTGAGAGCGTTCTGGGTCGCACCTAGGCTCTGCAGGAAAGCATATCTGCATGTGTGATGGGAAGCAGTGGCAGTCCACAGACGTAAGGGCTGTCAACCGCAAGCCATGCACGTGGTGACCCCAGTGTGGACAGCCCATGCCTTTCCCTCTCCCCATGCACGGCCATTAATTGTCACTTATCTTGGTTTCAGGTGTTTTCATTTGTAGTCACTCTGCTGTACGTGGTCCATGCAGTGTTTTCTTTAATCAGATGGAAGTCTTCCTAAAGCAGCAGCAGAACTTTAGCTGAAAACCAAGAGGGTATTAACTGATCGGCCCGCCTTCCAGCATAACACTTTAGAATGCAGAAATGTTCCTGATAGTGGATAAAGAAAGAGGTTTACTCTCCCATATACCTTCATGTCAGAGTAGGAGGCATGCTACATTTATCCTCCAACTACTGAGCTGTCTTTCCAAGATCGTTTCCTATTTGAAAGGGGGCAGTGGGAGTGGGAAGTGAGGAATGTGATCTGACAGACCACAAAACTGGACTGCTGACTCCTGGACCGGATCGTGAGAACCGTCTACTGAAATTTTCCTCCGGCTCTTTTGAGTGTCCACCTTGCAGCAAGTTTCTCTGTCTTCAAGAATATTCTACCTGTCACGGGGAATAAAATTCACCCAACAAATATTTGCAGATGTCCACAGTGGGATGTGATAAACCTTTGAAATACTTTATAAAGTACCTTTATGTTCAATACTTCGGTTTGTTTGCTTGTTTGTTTTAATTCTCCAGTTTAGAGAACACAATCATGTCAGCTTTCTGAGGAATCCTTGGTTTAGACCAAATCTCTAGAGGCAGCATCAAAGGGCAGTTCAGGTGACAGTGTGCCCAGCCACTGCATCTCAGAGAGCCAACCGTGGGTGTCCCATCCTCCCCAGGAACCAGGGAGGTCAGAGGGCTTCACCATCTCTGGAAACTAACCAGGTACCAGCCTGGGGGACCCCTTCTTTTACCTACAAAACAGAGGGGTGGGTCCATGCTAAATTAGAAAATCCTTAAGCCAAAAGAAAACGGGGGCAGAAGTTTCTTCTCACTCTATATGAAGCTGATCAGAAATTTTCTGGGCAGTATCTTCCATGTTCTATTCCCATTAGGAACGTGGATAAGAAACTGTTTTTAGAATTTCCTTGGACCACACTGTTGTAGAGAAAGGGGACCGGGCCACAGTGTGAAAGCAAGTGGTATGACAAGTGGCAGTGCTACCTTTCAGGTATGAGATGTCTGGGTCGGGTGGAGAAAGGATGATTAGGAAGGAGGGCACTCAGTAAGGAATCCTGAAAACTCCGCTCCCGTCACGAAATGCTCCTTCATTAAAGGAAGGTAATGATATTCTAGAGCTGGGACGCCAGAACAGGTGTCTCAAAAGCTGGTCACGTTCCAGCGTGGAGGTGTAGATGCAGAGGCTGGACGACTGCTGGCTAGCGGGCACGCAGAGCAAAGATTGAAGCCTCAGGCAGAGGTCTGACTAGTTGACGTGTTACTCCCCTTCCAACATGGGGACCCTGTGACTAAACTGGATCTCAGTGGTATCTTCAGGAGCTGTTATTGTACCAGAAAAGGCCACTTTCACTGAGTCCACTTAAATTTAAGGTAAAATTTTCCATTATTAGGAGCAAAAGGTGATTGGGGCTATATCCTGAAAAATACAAATTAAGAAATGATAGGAAGTTTGTCACGTGTTTAACAAAATTTGCTACCAGGTGTTGACTGAGGGAAGTCTATAATTTTTTCATTATGCACCAAGATGCTGACAGAAGCTCATATTCGACCCCATCCAAAAAAAAGAAACCAGAGGCTTAGTCGAATTTCCCAAGGGTTTCTCAATGCTTTTTCAATTATCCTCTTTAAAGGAAATTTGATGTGCTCTTTCTCTATTTTCCCGTTTTCAGTTGGGAATAGTCTAATTCTAAACCCTCATTAATCCCAAGCTTTGCAGGAGATTCTCTGACATGACCTTCTCATTCCTTCTATCCTGAGTCATTTTTATAATTTGCAGTTTTTCACTGGGCATTTGATTTGCCTCCTCTTGCACTGGGTGTAATAAGGGTGGGCAGCCTCAAAAAATGCCCTCTCCTGGTCCTGTTTTCCTTCACCCAGACCACCCCGCCTCTCCCCACCCCCAGCAGACCCTGGTCCAGTCTCCCGGCCGGTGCATCTCACTGCTCAGCTCCATCTGCATCCAGCTATTTAGGAAGTGTTTGCAGGTACAACTTCTGGCCAGTGGGCAGGCCTCCTTGCTAAGGGCAGTGCTCCCAGGAACCCACATGGCCTGGGGAAGGGGGCATTTAAGAAGCCTGCTGGGCAACAGCAGAAAGGTCCTCAGATCACAGAGACTGGGCATCAACTGAGCACCTACTGTGTGCTGGGACCATTGGTCCCTCCAGGTGTGGGATGGTGTCTGCCCCCCAAAGCTTCTCGTGGCTGGCATGCCTCAGCTGTGCCTCTGGGTCTTGGGCAAGAGGGAACCTCCTATGGGGCACATCTGGCTGCCACCCCAAGGGCAGGTGGGACATGCCTTAGAGGTTGCCTGCTTGGTGGCCCTGACTTGGACCAAAGGGCAGGTCCCACCAACACCCAAATGCAACTGCACAAAGGACCCAAATTTGCACTGTGTGACCATCTTGGCTGCCATGTTTGGAGCTCCTGCCTTGGGTCAGGCACTGTGGAAGCACCTCCCATATAGAGAGCCTCCTGTCGTCCTCCCAGTGGGCACAGTAGACAGCTATGACTGTCCTTGTACAGATAAGGAGACAGACTCACTCAGCGGGTGAGAACTGGAGCCGGGTCTGGGGCAAAATTCTTCCGTCCCTGAAGCCCTGTGCTCACTCACTGTCCTCAGGTGTCCAGACCTGTCCCCATGAGGGTCTGTTCTCTGGCTCCTTCGCAGGAAGTGACAGTGAGACAGGACCTTGTAGTAGACCTGATACCAATGGGCAGAGGACGTCAGAGGGGGATGAAGCCGGGCGTGTGGGACAGACCCGGACCGCTAGCAGGGCTTGCAGGAGGCCACGCGGCCGAGTCCAGATCCTGGGCACCGTTGCCTTCCCGAAAGGGGCTGGCTGCTCTGAGCTGCAAAGTCACGGCCAGGCCCGTCCAGGCAGCTGCCGAGCTCCACGCTGCAGCCCCGACAAAGCCAAAGGGCCCCCAGGCCAGCTGGCGCTATGTGAAGAAGGTAATAACTGGGCGTCTCTAAGTTCATGGAACAAAGAGCTGTGTCCCTCCCCGGGCCTGAGAAAGGAGTAAGAAGTCAGTGCCTGTACGTGACCAAGAGGCAAAGCTTGCAGCACTGAACAAACCATGGTGACTACAAACTTGGGTGAGGGTGTGCATCTCTGGACGGAAAGAAGGCGAGGCAGCCGTGGATCAAATCCCACCAGGATATTCTGGATGCTTCTACCTGTGACCTCAGTGCCTGTGGCCCCCTTGCTCTACGGGGGCTCTGGGGACACATCCTAAGCGCCTCTCCCCTGTGCAGGGCAGGCGGCCTGGGAGGCGCTTCATCACACGTAGTCCCCCTCCGGGAACCAAGCCCTTACCCCTTGCTGCGCTCCCAGTGGGTCCCACCAGATCTGCCCTTCTCCTGGAGAGGACAAAGCATAGAGGGGCTGGGCTTCACCGACATGCCCAAACCGAACTCTAAAGAGCACCTCTTATCAGAGCCCCCGCAGCAGCCCACGTGCGGGATTTAAGGCCTCTTCATGCTGACCTTAAAGAGACACAGGCTTTGCGCTGCCAGCCGTGGCCCGTGGGCCGTGGGCCAGTGCAGCCTTCAGGCCCACACAAGGGATTATTGTTCCCGGGGTCACAATGGGGCCTCTGAGGGGCAAAGTGCCTCTGGCCTGGCCGACTGCTCCTACACACGTGGGCATCCGCCCAGGGCATTTAGAATAACACGACTTGAGAAAAAGATTTAAAGTGATCTTCCCCCCTCTCTGCATGACTCATGGGCTTTGTTCTCATGGGCTCTGTTTGGCAGCCTCTGAGAACTGGGGTGCTGGAGGCAGATGCTGGGGCTCCTAGCTGTGCCCTCTCTCTTCTCTCACAGGTAATCTGGGACAATCAGAGTGCCAGGCTCTAGAGATGGTACCCAGAGAGGTTTGATGCATGCGGGGAGTTCAGCTTCCAAGACGTCCTTCAGCCAATTTGTAGTCAAGGAGAGCCTGGTAGGAGGCAGGTGCCCAGGGACATGATGGGAGAAGCCTTGCCAACAACACTGGCTGCCCAGTGCTGCTTAAAGCACTTTACTTATTCACTTAATCCTCATGACAACCCTATGTGGTGGATACTGTTTAGATGAGGACTCTGAGGCGAAGAGAGGTTAAATGATTTACCCAAGGTCACAGAGCAAGTAGGTGTGACTCGAGTTCCAAGGGTCTGGCTCCACGGCCCCAGTGTTACCTGTCATGTGCCACATCTCATAGGACCAGGGGGCACAGACCTGCCAAGCAAGTCCTTCAAACCCACAACGCTGACAGACGGTACAGAAGGTTCCAGACTACACACAGGGATTTTCAGGGAAAAGCAGGCCGAAGCCCAACCCGCCAAGGAAGTGTGTCTGAGATGAGAACACCTGCAGGCAGGGAGTCTTCCCTAGGCAGAGCCAGGACAATGATCCAGCCAGGTGGGGTGGGGGAGGGGAGGCCTCCAGAGGTTAGGAGGGTCTGACATGGCCCTGAAGGCGAGTACCTGTTGGCAGGGGCAGCTCTCCAGGTGAGAGGCGCTATGGGTGTGGGCAGTAGCAGGGGTGGTGGGGGAAGAGCAGCGGACAGGCTGGGCTGGGGAGGTGGGATAGACCTGACCAGGTTTTGGTGAACGGAGATCCCATGGAAGGCAGCGGCTGAGGACACGGACCCTGGGCCTGCACACGTGTGTGACCTCTCAGCCTCAGGGCCCTTGCCTGCAGAAGGGGAATATTCATCCTGCCTCACAAGTTGTTGGGAGGACTCAAGAACTTGGTTCAGGTAAGCACCTAGGACCAAGGAAGGCTGAGGAAGTGTCAGCTGGGCTCACCATCACGGGAATGAAGGAGGGAAAGGTCTAGAATGATCCTAAGTCTCTAACCTGGGCAGATGATGGTTATTGGCATTGTGTTTATTAATTAACCATGTTCCTGACATTGTCAGAAACTTGGACTGACACTTTTGCTTTTCCCCACAGAACTGAACATTTAATCAGCCATGACATTCTTTAAAATAGCCCCACCTAGAGAGAGTGGCATAGACATATATACACTGCCAAACGTAAAATAGCTAGCTGGTGGGATGCAGCCGCATGGCACAAGATCAGCTCGGTGCTTTGTGACCGCCTGGAGGGGTGGGATAGGGAGGGTGGGAGGGAGGGAGATGTCAAGAGAGAAGAGGTATGGGGATATATGTTTATGTATAACTGATTCACTTTGTTATAAAGCAGAAACTGACACACCACTGTAAAGCAATTATACTCCAACAAAGATGTAAAAAAAAAAAATAGCCCCGCCTAGTTGATGACAGACTGAAATCATACGGAAGTAATTACAGCTCAGGAATACAAAACAGGGCAGGTGGCCATTGAGAATCTTGTCTCAGGCACGTCCCTGCACCACTGAGAACTTGAACATTTTCTTAACTATATCAAACCAAGGACACCAGCTGTTTTTAAAACAACATCTGCCAGCTGCAAAACCGTGGTCTCAAGGTTGTTCCCCCTGCTAACTAT